TCTTATCCACCAATCTCAAAGTGTAGAAAGTTGGCTAGCAATCAAACCCTTCCAACTTTGGCACTGCAAAAGCTGACTCTTAGGACTCGGACTCCTACAGTCGGATCTAGAAACTACTCTGTTGTCTAAGCAAGGAATTAGCAAGTCAAGGAGGAAGGTGTCTCAAAAAAAAGAAAAATCAGGATCCATAACACACTGAGAGGAAACATCAACAGAGATGGTTTTACCGTATCTGGAAGCTCAGGTGAGTCTGCTGGAAGGCAACTCTACCCCCTTGGGACTGCAGCTTTGCTCTCTTTTGGCCTAAAGCAGGACAGCCTTTTTGTTCCAGCAACTCAGTAAGATTCACTCTTTTCTCATAAAAACATTGCCATTCTCTGTGCTTCAAGATACTTGCTATTCTTTCACCTTTCCAGTTGGAACCATGACTGTACAGAAAATAAATCCGCAGTCACTGGTACAAAGTGGGAAGAAGGAGCATGACTGAAATCTGTGCTGCAGGAGCTGTGGGCCAGGTGTTTCTCTTATAAATCCAGTGGTTGTTTAACACACGTAAAGAAACGGTCAAGGAAGAAAGGACTACATATAGCTATATTTTTAACAGTACTTGGTGGTTTATTTTACATTATACATTTTACTATTATACATAGTAAAAAGACCATTCGTAATTTAAAGACTAAGTTGAAAAATACTGCCAGATTGCTAGGAAAGGAAACAGCAAAGCCTTAACAAACTTCTTGGAGGAACTGCTTTATAAGTAAAGGCTTTATGCCTCTGTTAGTTCGAAAGAGACATTGAGAGAAGAAGAATTAAAAAGAAACGGGCATAGCTGACAGGTTGTAAAAGGAATAAAATTTTACTTCCCCAACGAGAACTGAGCACAGAACAAAAGTCAGAATGCTTAAGGTAATCACATAATATAACAGCTAGGCTAAAAACTGGCTCACTTCACCTAGAAACAAGATGACTAGTTAAGCACCTCCTCTTGCCTTATTTATAATGAGAGCCTTTCTCTGCCACTGAACTCAAGATCCTGCTGAGGTTTCCACCTACAGTGTCAAAACAAACCCTGCTTCCCTGCTATCTGAAACACTGAACAGGACTGAGCTCCACTAAGTGAGCCATGGCTCAGTGTTTCTTAATGTACTAAAATTTATACTATAATCCTTTTCCAGGAATACCAGTATCATTTTGTCATGTTTGTAAGATACTATTTACAGATGTCTTTCACTCAGTGTCTGTAAGATGTTATTGTAATGCATTAGGTGGATGATTAATATTTCCAATACATTTCTTTGAGGTAGATTTCCCACCCGCCCCCAGAACAGTTTCCTTGAATTCTTTGGACTCCTGGTTGGAGGTAAGGAGATGTGGGGTCAGACACCAGAACCTTGGGTGTCCCATTCCCCAAGAGCACTCTAGTCAAGAATCTCCACTTACCCTCCTTCGCCCCTTCGTGCTACAAACACCCATCTGGACACAAAGACTTTTTTCCTCACTCTTGTTCATATAAATAAATAAAAGATAAATAATTGACACCATAATGTTAGGGATCTTAAGAGTCAGACTATTTGCAGAACTGCAGTTATGAGTTAGATACCTACATTTCATCTAATTCACACTGTCAACACAACACTGCTTTTGGGATTCCCTCATCCCCATTTCATAGAGAATGGAACTGAAACACACAAATAATGGAGCTGATCAATCAAAAATCCAGCTAAAATTCTCTAATAATCTAAGTCCATGCCCAACAGGACCCCTCAGATGACTACACTTAGTTTTAGGTTTCTATGCTTTTATGAATTAGGAACAGATTTGCTTGCCCAAAGGCAACCCACATCTCTCAATTGCTACTTTGGTTCTACCATGCTGTCACACAATTTGCAATGGAGCTGAAGTTGTTTCTTTGCCTGTAAAGCTGCTTCACATGGAAATCTGAGTTTCAGCTGTTACTACCAATATTATTATAAAATCAGAAGACTCCACTGGCTTCACTGAGTCTGTCTGGGACTGAAATCACTAACTCTCCAGGGAAGAGAGTCCTACATTTTCTCTAGGATAAATTAAATCATGACATCACTCCCCAGAAACTTTGTAACAAACAGTATGTCACTTACATTAAGAGAGCTAACATCACCAATCAAAAATCTAATGAAGAATAATAGTTTCTCTTCTTTTTGTGCATGTCTTCCCATCAACCTCCTTTCTTCATTTCTTCTTTTTGCCTCTAAATGCAACTGAAAGAATGCCCAAAACTTATAAAGCTTTCCATTTCAAAGAGTTTAAGTCACAGAAAAAAAATCTTGCTTAGGAGAACAATCTGTAATTTCACTACAGCTGTACACAGAACTGTCTGGGTTGGGGAAAAAATACCATTTCTGTACCTCAAAGATGTAGACTTCTAGGGACACACAAAGGAACACTCTCAGTTTGAACAGCTCTACTAAAGCCATTTTAGGTAATACATCTTACAAGACAGAAAATGATCCACAGGGAACCTTTGTGTAAGCTCAGAGCCCTGTTACATTGCTAGAAGGACACTGCCAAAGGCAGCAGGCAAAACTGTCCCTATGAAAACCGCGCACCAAAGAATACACTCACAAACAATTCTCATTTCCTAAACTAGGAAATCCTCAGCAGTGAAAGCCTACGAGTGAAGAGATCTTCTAATGTGGCTCCACGTTCAGCAATCAGCTTGCCAGGTGAAGCAGGTCCTCCCCTGCTCAGAGCCCCAAAGGCAACACTGGAGCAGTGTGGTGCAGAGAGGCACAGCATGCATTAATTACTCACATATGGTAAGAACTAATCAAAGCAAAGCTTTGTGAAAAGGACCACATCTTGGAGACTGGAATAGCCGGTCCAAGAGGATACAGTAATTCTGAAACTGAGCACTAACTTACAGTCTTTGCTCTCCTCTAGGAATGTCATGGTAGCTTGTTTTTTTTGTGAACCTCTGTGGGAAAAGGTATTACTTTAACTTAGACATAGCAGTTGCCTATACATTGCCCTGAGTTCTTGTTGGTTTTACTGTATGGCAAAATAAAAATCAAAATTAAGTATCTCCTGGTTCCAGGCAAAGGACCTGGCACACAGCCAAACTGTAGTTGTAAAGTAAGTCACCTCTGTTAGTTAAAGGGAATTCATACAGCTGCTGACATACTGCTGACATTTAACAAATAACAGATACGAACAAGAAGGGAAGCAGCCAACAGGCAGCCCTGGAGTTCCATCCCGTTTGACAGCAGCAGCAAAAGACCCTTGGCAGACTTCTCTCAGGATGGAGTAATAGACTGAAGGTCTTCAGTCTTCTCCCAGCCCAAGGGCTGATGAGCTTAACTGAAGAGAATAATTTTCCTGAGCCTTCTTCCAAGAAGTTTTATACTAGAGGCAATATCCAAGCACAGGGCTATTCCTGTGGGCATTAGCAAAAAGTATTTCTGTTGTGGGAACTAAAAAAAAAAGCTTTATTTACCTAATTACAGACTTCTAATTGTTTATTCACTTTGTACAATTCACAATTGCTTCCCATGAACGAGCTGTACCTTTTTTACACCAGTCTTCTCTAAGTTTGTAAACTACAGGTGGGGACCTCCAAGGCAAAAAGAACTGAATATCCGTAACATCTTCACCATTAGCCTTTCAAAGCTACTTTCAGTGTCAATGGTTTCAATCAGTGTCCTGAAAAAATCACATCGTGGTCTTCTCTGCAGCTTGGACCACCAGTCTGTGAAAACTCACCATGACAGTTCATCAGTGTGGTTGCGATTAGCTGCATGGAATAGCAATTGCAAATACTAAAATATTTTAAGTCAGGCGATTGCAGTCCTTAGAGGAATGACTGTACTTTAATACTGTTTGTCCACAATACACAAACCTGGAGTCAGGGTATCAGAAGAAAAACAATTGATATCTTTATTTGAATAAATTCATGCTCCTCTTCTGGAGATTAATCCGCAAATCAGTGAATATTATGCCGTTGCTGGCGTGCCCTGTTTGCCCGCCCTGTTGGCGGCGCTTCTGGTCGCTGGTGCGCCCTAAGAGCTTCTTTTAGATGTGGGGCCGGAGGGGAGAGTTGGCCACCATTGCTCCTGGGCCCACCCACGTCCCATTAGCCACTGTGGCACAAGCTGTGGGCTCCTGGCCGCTCTCTTGGCTCTTGCTGAGGTACCCCCAGTTCAGGAAACCCCCTGTGCACCACCCTGCAGTGCTCCGCTGCGGATCATGCCAGCACCAGAGCCACTCGCCTCGGCAACTGAGCGGCACATTGTAGCAACTCAGTGCTTCCACCCCATGGGATGTTGTCTTTTAATCTGGATCTTACTTAAGTCCATGGTAAAACCTGTTAATTCATCCAGAATTTCACTCACTAAAAATACAAAAAAACAAACAAAACAAAACAAAAAAAAAACTAACACTGTTTTAAAATACTTCACGGGCATTATCTTAGAATATTGAACGGAAAAAAAAAAAAATCACAGTTCAAAGTGACTTATTCTGTACCTCGTACTCAGCTTGGACAGTTAAATGAAATACTGTTCAATTTTCTCACTTTAACAGTTTCCACAAAGTTGATGAAAGACTTGCTACATGTTACTAATCAGTGTCAACACATTAAATGCTTTCTCATAGTTACATAGCTTCAGCTGTGTCTGTCTCTGCATGTGTACAATCACAGAGAAAGTACAGAAGAATACAACTGAGTCCATGCCTTGGAACCGCTTTGACATATTAGTTAGAAATAAAAATTGAGGAGTGTTGAAAACCTAGCCAAAAATACTTCCCTCAAAGATCTCTAACATCAACTACCTGACAGCACGCTAAAAACAAAATGCCATATGTATTTCAGGAAAGTAACAAGGACTATTTCCCAAAAATAAAAATAAAAGAAAGCAACAGTTAAGTGAGACCAACATTACAGGGAATCATTTAGGCATCAAGGCTCTTATGAGTTCATGCAGATAGAAGTGAGATAAGAGAATCGAGGATGTTTGTCTTACCTTGGAATAAAAATGCTTTGCTGGCATTGTGTAGTCCTGACACCTGTGTTACCCCAAGGGTTGTATTCACAAGATCCAGTTCTGTGATTATATCAATTTGTAAGTCAGGATCCATTCCAAATCCTACAGCTGTTAGGGGCAGAGAGAGAGAGATCGATCAATTTTTATTTCAAATCAGGTAATGAAAAGAATGGAGAAGAATATCTAGTGCAGGCATTTCTAGTACCTTCACACTCTCACACACACACTGTATACAGTAATTACTTATAAGACAGTAACTCTGCTGCAGGAAAGAGAAGATACTCTGTTCCAATTCTTTCAATTAAACTATTTCCTTTCCAGAGATTTTACCACACGCAAGTTAAAACATTCTAAAACTGATACATTAATCCACTATCTTCATAAGGCTAAAGAGTAATAAATAAATAAAAGCATAACTACCTATGCAAAAAGATGAAAGAGATTTGCAGCATTCATCTATTGGCCACACTATTTCCAGGGAGATGCGAGGACTGAAAATTTCCCTCACATTTCATACCCAGCTACAACCAACAGATCTGGCCCCACAGCTCATAATGTAAATGTAATATATTTTCCCAATTGTGCCGGTTTTGGCTGGGATAGAGTTAATTTTCTTCACAGTAGCTAGTATGGGCTATGGTTTGGATTTGTGCTGAGAACAGCGTTGATAATTCAGGGGTGTTTTAGTTAAAGCTGAGCCATGTTTACACAGAACCAAGGCCTTTTCTGCTCCTCACCCCGACCCACCAGTGAGGAGGCTGGGGGCACAAGGAGTTGGGAGGGGACAGAGCCAGGACTGCTGACCCCAGCTGACCCAAGGGATATCCCATACCATATGACATCATGCTCACCAACTGGGGGAAGAAGGAATGGGGGGACATTCGGAGTGATGCTGTTTGTCATCTCAAATCACCATTACATGTGACAGAGCCCTGCCTGGGGATGGCTGAACACCTGCCTGCCCGTGGGAAGTAGGGAATGAACTCCTTGGTTTGCTTTACCTGTTAAACTGTCCTTATCTCAATCCATGAGTTTTCTCACTTCTACCCTTACGATTCTCTCCCCCATCCCACCGGGGTGAAGTGAGCGAGCGGTTGGGTGCGACTTAGTTGCCAGCTGGAGGTAAACTACAACACCAACTGGACAAAATTACCCTGGAGGAGATATAGCAGCAGGGCAAACGATGCCATCCTGTAATCTAAGAGCCTTAGCTGACTCACAAAACTGTTTGATATTGCTTCAGAAATGCATCTCCATATTTGTGAGATCACCACTGATGTCAAGATTGGAGGCAGCCTGGGCTGCAATGATCAAGCACTGGTAAAGTTCGCGGTCCTGAGGCATATGGGTCAGGCAAAGAGTAAAGTCAGGGCCTTGAACTTTAGGAAAGCAAACTTCCAGCTCTTCAAGGAGTTAGTCAATAGGACGCCCTGGGAAGCTGCCCTCAGGGATAAGGGACCAGAATAGAGCTAGCAGAACTATAAGGACACTTTCCACAGAGCGCAAGAGCTCTTGATCCCCAGGTGTAAGAAATCAGGCAAGCAAGTGGGCTGAGTCAAGACCTGCTGGTCAAACTAAAGGGCAAGAAGAAAATGCAGAGGCAGTGGAAGCAGGGATGAGTATCCTGGGAAGAGTATGGGGACACTGCC